ACCTCATGCTGCGCTTTATCGCGCCTTTACCCGGAATTCAGGTGGGAAAAAACATTGCAACTAGCAAGCCAGACAAAGTTCATTGGCAATACTCGAGTGGAGCTTCACTACACTCCTCCCCCGGACCGGCTGACCCAATCCCCGCACTATATCCCTCAGAGATCCCTATCAAAATAAACTAGGTAGAGAAATAGTGTCACTCTAAGCCTTGACGCTGATAATCCCAAAATTGTACGTCCATAAGCGATTCTGGGGAAGCCATCGGTATCCGGGGGAGGTATTGCTAGGAGTTGTTTCTGCATGGATGCTCACTCGGAAGTTTGGATAGTAAAGATGTTATGGGCTGCTGAACGAATATATCGTAGACGAAAAGGGGTGGGCGGGCAGGGATAAGTACGGGGGGAAAACTCGGGATAGCCGTGAGTCTGCTGCATTTCCAGTGCCTCTCTTGAGGGGACACTGTTTTCTCGTGTCCTTTAGTGGTGGTATTAGCTGTTCCGGTAGGGTCTGCACGCTTGATCTGTAGTAATCCCCCATACATGGTGGGACCATTTACCGCAAAAAGGGATATCATATGATCACCCAGACTTCTGTTCAGTCACTTTATCATATGATACCAATTCCTTATCATTTTTTATAGCCCTTGAAATTGGACATGTGGGGGTCCCTTCCTAAGCCGATGTGGTCATAGTGTTGATGTCCTAATTTATCGAAACCCTGCCCCAGACGATATGCAATGCCGGGAATTGAGGATCCTGCGCCTCTCCAGTGGATGTTTTTGTAGAAATCAGTTATGACACTATCATGCTCATTTCCCAGCCCTCCGACGTGTTTCGCCAAGGCTTCGTTCAGCCAAAGTGCACGGGCTCTCAACTCCAATTACCTGTAGACGTTTTTATATTTTATCTAGGATTCTGCCGAAAAAAAAAATTCCAACAACGTACCTGACTGGCTACCCTTTGGAAGCTGGCACGGTCCCACTTCATCCAAACCATAATTCCAGTCTTCGTTGACAAGTCGTATATGGGCTGGTGTTCCTGGTACTTGCGCCATGGGTGTTCAATTATTAGAGCTATAGTGAATAATCGCTAACCTGCTGGCCATAGACTAGATCCCATCCACTTGCCCATCCCAGAGATACAGTGGCCAGAGAAACTTTAGAGAGGGTTAGACCTAGGAAACGCCAAGGCTTCCTGATATCATACTTTTGAAATGAGAAAGTAGATATTCGAGGAATTAGCCAAGTTAAGTTGGGGACCTAACAAACTTACCCATATCGCTCCAATGCCAATAGTGTTATATGCACTCAGTGATTGAACTCCATATGAGAATTATTTCATAGATACCTCTCCATTTCTCCCTAAACTCTAGTATTTAGTATATCGGTGCTCCTACCTCCCGGGCTGGGACTGGAGCTACGCCCTTCGTAGGATAGGGGAATAGCGAATCTAACTTAAAATCTAGTTGGGGAGGCTATGACTATTGTAAAAGTTAGTCATGGGCTGAGATGGTACAGGTGGGTTGGAGGAAGGGTGGACGTTGCGATAGTATAGCTCTTGAACGGGCTGGAGGAGGGAAAAGGGGAAGAACGCGGGTAATTTATTAAGTTTAGGGGACAATCCCGACTGGAGCGTTTCAGCAAGTACACT